ATGCGTCGTTTGAAGATGACGGCTAGGGTTCCGATGGTGAAGGTGGCGACGGCGAACTAGAGTGTCGGAATAGTAACCTACCATGCCGGAAGTAGGATGCACCGTTCGAGAATAACAGTGGCTAGGGTTCCAGCAACAGTAATGGCAGCGGCTAGGGTTTCTACAAGCCCTTAGGATATTAGGGTTTATTTTAGCTCTGATACCAACTTAAGAATGAACAAACCACCACTCAACCCAAAAGCTTAAGCTGATGGGTTGGGTAAATTTAATTCATTTATATGGATTCTAACAGATCCAATTCTAAAATGGAGATTCCCTATTGCGTTTGGAGCAAGGCTCCACTTAGAATTTCGTCTACCCTTTTATGTTGACAGTCTTTAAAGAAAAGATACTAACAGCAGTTATTAGAAATAATAAAATAATAATAAGATATTAACAGCACACTTGATATGAGTGATGGAAACATTCAATAAAAGTAGATCGGTAATGAATAGTATATACTGCAGATGAGATCCAAGAATATGAAAAAACATATAGAAAACCTGAAAGGTCTCTTTAATCAACGAATATTCCAATACGTCCTCTATCTCAGACGCAAATGAGATTCTCCGCCTCAAGCCATCAACTCGTGTAAGAAACAAATCCAAGTACTACAACAAGGTCAAATATGCAATGTCATCAAACTCAAATGAAAATTTAAAATCTTATTTCTCATTTGTTAATTTCATCTCGTGCATAACTCTTTTGAGAATACTAATTAACAATAATGATATAAGTTGGCATGCTTTTGTACTGAATTTTATTTATCCAATCAATTTTTTTCTTATCCAAATCAAACAATTATGAAATAATTTCATCCTCTTACAACTACAAGCTCTTTGTCTTAAGCTACTGCATACTTTCTATATAGTAACCAGTATAGATTGCATAAGGACAGCCAGAATAATTAGGTATATATCCAGATAAATGATAATACATACCTCATCCAAGGTTGAGAATGAGCACTGCAAGGATTTTTCAAAGACCTGTATAGAGTATGCATCAAGAAAAAATATTCTGATTTCAAATCTTAAAGAAGTAAAACTTTTTATGCAGTACACAAACAGAAAATAGACAAATACAAAAACAAAGTAATTTTTTCAGCCCAAAACAAAAAGCAAAAAGCAAATAGACTAAGTTACTTTTCTAGTGGAAGTAATTTCTTTCAGATTACTTCTATTTCAAATTTGTTTCCTTGCTCTCAATTACTTTTCTAATAAAATCTAGGCAAACTTTTGGAGCTCCAGAGAAACTATGTCACCAGCATTAAGTAAAGCAATTTTTGCCAAGAACAATTAGGGCAGATTCGCTTGTGACAAAATGTAAAATAGTCATCTTGTCTAATGAATTATGAAATCAAAACAAACTCTACATAAAAAGACTGCTCAGAGAAAGGGTGTAGTTCTTGATGCTTACAGAAGCTATCTCGCCCTCAGAAGCACGAGCACGTTCCAAAGCAAGCAAATATCTAACCCAAAGGTCACCTACCCATGGACAATTCCTAGTAGCCCTGGAGTAAACGTTCCTTACAATACTGCCCACCTGAAAACCCAACTTCATGTATAATTATATCTTAAAACTATGTCCATAATTCATAAGAAACAAGAAGGAGAAACCTTCAAAGTTTTGTCCATGTATCGGGTGTAATCAAGCCAGAGATCAACTGATACTGGAAAATCAGCAACTGCACGCTCAAACAGAACTTGGACCCTTGCTGGATCTCCAGCAGATTGTTCAAATTTCAGGTAAATCTGCAAGAAAAATAGAAATAAAAATTTTTTATCTAAAACCAACGAGGAGAAGCTTTTATGATGATTTAAACTCCAAAGGGGTCAGGTAGGTCAAAAATGTAAATGCTACATACGATATATTGGTTCAGTCTTTCAGTATCTGTCGTATCCTGTCTTGAAATTTGTTTTTCCAATTGAACGCGGGCATTATACATATCCAGTGCTCTTTGGTAAGCCGAGGCAACTTGAGAAGGAACCCTGTCTGAGTCATTAGATTTCACTTCAAGAACACATCCATGTTCCCCTTCCATCTCCCATGCCTTGTAGGCCTCAAGTGTTGAATTCATATTAGCTAGAGGAAGGGACAACTGACGGTGGAAATTGCTTCGAATCAGCTGAACTTGTTTTTCCTTCGCCTGAATAATAATATGCAGCTCTGAACATGTGTATAACTTCTATCCAAGTTAAATTTATTTATATTGATCATCCACAAGACAGAGAAATATTTATGAAAAAAATCAAAAACTTACCATACATAAGCTTCTCTCCGTACATCCTTTTAACCATTTTCAATTGTAAGAAACATGAGTAATGATGCTGAAAATATGTGATAGACTCCAATTCACTTGACATAGGCAGGAAGAAAAGAAAAAGATAGGCAAGATATAAGGAAAGCCTTTTCTTTTTTTTTCTCTTTTTTTTTTATGAGAAACAGATGATATGAAGAAAGTTTTAATGTATTTAAAGAACAAGGACCAACAAAAGGGATGTGCCCCTTTGCCTTGACTTGGTTGTTTTCACTCTTTCCAGTTGGAGTGTGCATACCAAAATTTTTTGTTTTATTATAAAAACCGAGCTTTCATTAAGATAAATGAAAAAATTATGACATAAAAAAACTAGTTTAACAAAAGAAGTCAGGCGTATTATTAATATTTCAAGCAAAA